GGAAGCTCTACGATGAAGTCAACGGAGACGGTATGCCAGCGTTCCGGGGGCGTTTCCGTGGGGTGCAACTCTCCGTGGGGCAGTCTCCGGAGTGCCTTGGTGCGACAGCACAAGTCACAGGTCGCAACATACCGGCCGATATGGCGAGACATCTGAGGCCACCAGTAGTTCCGGGAGACCAACTCCAAGGTCTTGAAACGACCTGCATGTCCGGCGACTCGGGTGTCATGGCAGAGCTCGATGATGCATCTCCGGAGGTCCTTGTCCTTTGGTACAACAATCTTTCCTCGGAAATGGAGAAGACCGCCGGAGACGGCCCACTCGTCAGACCGTGAGGAGCGGGGGCCTCGAGCTTGACCTTGAACCTTAAGAAGTTGCCGGGCCGCTAGTGCGACGGGCTCCTCCAGGTCAGGCTCACCGGAGAGGGCATCATGGATGTCGCGGAGGAGTTCAGAGCCGGGACCGGAAACGGAAACGCCCTCGAGTGCGCGGACGTGGAAGAGTTCAGGCCGCAGAAGGACGATATTGGAGTTGTCGGAATCGACTCCGTGGTCGGGTCTCCGGGAGAGGGCATCAGGTCGACCCATGTCGCGGCCAGGTTTGTGGTGCAGCGTGAAATCAAACCGGGAGAGGTACAGGGACCACCGGGCCTGTCTCCGGTTGAGGTGCTGCGTCTTCCTGAAGTACTCCAAATTCTTATGGTCAGTCCAAATCTCGACAGGATGCGCGGCGCCCTCAAGGAAGTGTCTATACTCCTCGAGTGCACGGATGATCGCGAGCATCTCCTTGTCGTGGATTTCGTAGTTGCGCTGGACATCATTTAAGCTTTTGGAATAGAATGCTACAGGGTGCCACTTCCCGTCCGGGGCGGATTGTGAAAGAACCGCCCCCGTTGCATAATCAGAGCTGTCCGCCTCTAGTCGGAAAGACCGTGCGTCGTCCGGAATCGCCAGGACCGGTTCCGAGGTGACCGCGTCCTTGATTGCTTGGAACGCGGAGGCCTCCGCATCGCCCCAAGTCCACTGCTGGTCCTTCTTGGTGAGCACGAAAAGAGGGCGCGCAAGGGTCGAGAAGTCCCGAATGAACCTGCGGTAGAAGTTAGCGAACCCAAGGAACTGCTGAATGTCCTTCTTGTTTTCCGGAGTCGGCCAAGCGGAGATGCCTGCGACCTTGACGGGGTCCATTTCGACGTGGTTGTGGGAGATGATGACTCCGAGGTACTCGATTGACGATTTTTCAAAGTCGCACTTCTCCGCTCGAAGGTACAACTTGTGCTCTCGGAGTCGCCGCAAGACCTCCTGAACAATCTGCCGGTGTTTCCGGAGGTCGGAATGGGCGATCAGGATGTCGTCAAGGTAGATCATGACATCTCCGGAGAGGATGAGGTCCTGGAAAATGTCATTCATCATCGTTTGGAACGTCGCGGGAGAGTTTGTCAGGCCAAAATACATCACCAAGGGCCCGAACAGGCCTCGGTTAGTCCGGAAAGCTGCTTTCCACTCGTCACCTTCCTTGATCCGGACGTTGTTGAAGCCCCAACGGACGTCGAGTTTGGTGAAGTAACGGGCGCCTTTGAGCCGGTTGATGAGGTCGTTGATCAGCGGAAGGGGGTACCGGTTTTTGACAGTCATCGCGTTGAGAGCACGGTAGTCCTGGACGAAGCGGAGTCCGCCATCCTTCTTCTTGACGAAGAAGACCGGAGACGCCATCGGAGACTTGGAGGGGCGAATCCGGCCCGTCGAAAGCCCTTCCTCGATGAACGCGTCGAGCTCGCGTTGCTCGAGGGGCGAGATGGGGTACACCTTGCAGTTGGTGGGCTTAGCGTCGGGGACAAGCTCAATGGCGTGGTCCCAGGCTCTCCGTTCGAGCCTTAGGCGGAGTTTTTTGACAAATGGCACTAGCTATTGCTAGCAGAGCGGTTGTCAAATTTTCTAGCTATAGCTAGTAGGCTGAAACTGTTACTTCTGTGACAGGCTTCTTAATAGTTTATTTAATTACTATTGATCATTTTAGGGAGTTATCATTGATGGGATCAGTAGTAGGTGGACAAAGTGATCCATGTGGAACCATATTTGATTGCCATCAATGATTTGGCTCACTACATCAAGTTACATCATTTCAGTCCAAATTGGGACAAAGCCTTATTCACTTCATACCGGATCATCGGCCTGAAGAAAAGGAGTTAGCAGTATCATATATATATTATATTAATTATATTATCAATATATATATCAAATTGGATCATTATTACCACTTTAAGTGTGACCATTTGTCAAATATCACTAGCTATTGCTAGCTTAGCTATAGCTGGCATCTTTGACAACTGTCCCGCTAGCTATAGCTAGGCACTTGTCAAATAACTACAGCTACGGGTGTCCGTTCTGGTAGCGTATTGAAGGACTCCTTGTTGAAGACGTCCTGGAACTCCTTAGCCCAGTCCGGGATCTCGGAGGGCGGTGGGGTGGAGTTCCTGGCAAAGGCTTCGGCCAGACGCTGTGAGACGGTGCTACCTGCGCGTATCTCCTCTGAGGGACGGAACGAGGTGTAGAAGATGCGGTCACCATCTTCGAGCTGGTCATCTTCGTCATCCGAGTCCGAGTCCGGTGTCAGATCAGGCAGGTCAGAATCGAGACCGGAATTGGAATCATCTCCGTCCTCAGGGCCAGAGAGGTCCATAGTGCAAACCGAGGGGAACGGGCCGGAGCGGAGACGCTTCTGGAGCAACTGGAGTCACCGCAGCTCAGTCCGTTCGACACGCTCCTCCTCGCGGCAGGTCGAGCAATTGCGGGGACACGTGTCATCTTGACCTCCTTGGTTTCCCAATTGATCTCTGGGTTGTGTTTCCGCAACCAGGAGTACCCCAGGATGAGGTCTTGCTTGCCAAGATGGGTGACGGCCAGTTGAACTCGTTCGGCATGGCCTCTGTAGCGCAGGACCAAGTCCGCGATCTGTTTGATGGAGCCGGCATCATTAGGGGTGCCGTCGACATTGAAGACCGGGATCGGCTGATCAAGAGTGCGGACCGGAATGCCATTCCGAGCGACATAGTTCGTGTCAATGAAGTCGGAGGTGGCACCACAGTCGACAAGCCCAGAGAGCGAGAGCTTCAACGCACTGGTGGTGGACTCAAGCTCCAACGGGAGGTGGAGGGAGTCCGCCCCAGGGGCAGCGGCAACAGTGTACTGCTTGGGCAGTTTCTTCTCCCAGGCAGTGAGGCGGCGAAGGACGATGACCGGAGTCGCGGGCGGAGTCGGAGGCGGAGTCGAGGTGGGGGCAGGAGAGGGTGTGTCTTTCGTTTCGGGCTCATTGTAGGGCAAGGAACTGCATTCATCATACAAAGAGGCAAAACGATTTATAGACGCGAACGAGGGCACACCAGTCACTCGTCACGGGGGACAAAATCCTCTCCGGCCATCGACTCCGCTACCGTCTCCGGCAGGGCAGCTGTGTCCGTGTAGCGGGCGATCAACTCCGCTAACATCTCGTCACCGAGTTGTTGGATCACCTCGTCAAGGATGTCCATCAAGCGGACATCGGCGGGGAGGGGGCAATCCCGGGCAAGATGGTTTGGGTCGCCGCACCTGAAGCAGGCGCGACGAGGGGCACCCCGAGCCCTGGTGCGGTCCAACTCCATAGGGACGGGAGCTGCAGGCGCCGGAGCGGGGGCGCGGGCCGCGGGTGGCACGACTGGAGCCACCGGGCGGAAAGGGGCCGGAGCCGGGATGCGGTTGACCGGAAACGGAGTCCGAATCAAACCGCCAGGCGTCTTGGGGGCGGCTGACTTGATCAGCTTGGCCCGGACCAGGGCCTCGTATTGACGGAAGGCCCGGGTGCGCCAGCTAAGGTAATCCCGGAGGTCCAGGGGGTCGTTCGAGGACGTGATTCCGTTGTTGATCAAGGGATCAAGTCCGTGGCGGAACTTGGTCACCTTGACCAACGCGTCTTCGAATCCGGCGAGGTCCATCAGGTCCTCGAAGTCGTCGGTGTACTGGTAGACATCCTTTGTGCCCATGTGATAGGCGGAAGTCTCCAGCTTGGAGAGAGCGTGGCCTGAGATCAAGGTCCTAGCAGGGGAGGATCCAAAGCGTGAACATTGGTAAGCGAATACAAATGAAGCTGACCTAGCAGGGGAGGATCCAAAGAGAAGAAACTCTAAGGGTCCGCCTGCTAGGGAGCTGACTATATACTGCTTGTCCGTAGCTGCCGCTGTCGGGCACAGAAGGCTTGGGCGGCGTCGCAGGCGAGGTCCCAGGGCGACCGTCGGGAGGGCGTTGACGGATCGGTGATTGTGCGGGCGAGATGGAGGGCCGGACCGGAGTCGGAACCGGAGTCGGACCGGAATCGGGCGCGTCTCCGGGCCGAAGGGGAGGTTCCCCTGACACCTACCAGTGATCATGTGGGATGCTGTAGATGGGGTATAACTAGTGGGAAATCTGTTCTCCACCAGGTCCTTATATACACTTAATACTACATAGATCATATGTCCCCAATCGCCATATGTGCTCACTTGTCACATGAATATCTCTATGTGCTAACATATTGGAACAAGATTTTCCAAGCAGAAATTTAGAAAAGGTTTAGTTTACTGATTGATTCATGGGCCTGACAGAGATGATAAAAACTTGGAATACTGAAATGAGTCCTCTAATACAGAAAATGTCAGACTTCTCAATGAGTTTTTTGGCCTAGAAACTTTCTAGTAATCCAATATTTTTTTCAACCTGGATTTTAAAGACAGAAAATATTATTTTAATTTAATTGTCACAGTGTCTCTCATGAAGGGGTCTGGTTGCATGGACGAGTGAACATAATTGTTATAGGCGAAATCCGGCAGCATAAGTCAAACTGTGAAAAAGTCTTGGATTCTGAGAAAGTGGCAGGCACTTGCTCAAAATAGGACAGTATTAGTAGTCTGCACTATGTGGGACTCGAACCCACGGCCTTGTTTTCATCGAGCACGTTTGGTTATGTCATCACACCCTCCTCTCCTTCGCTCTTCCATGTCGCGTTCAACTCCTCTCAAACTCCTGGACCTACCGCCTGAAATCATTCACAGCTGCCTGCTTCTTTTGTCTCTTAACGACCTAGCACACTGTCTACACACAGGCAACCGCCACCTCACACAAATCATGTCGACCTCCCTCGACATTCGTTATCGCGTCGAGCAAGAATTCGCCGGCGTTGAAGAGAATCCGGATTTCCCGGGCTTTGCTCTACTCCCTCTTGATGCGCGGCTGCAGGCACTTCGCGAGAGAGAGCGCCGCTGGCGGGAATTCGCTCCTGTGGCGCGATACTCAATCGAATATCCTCCATTCTCTGGGGTGGCTCGTCTGTGCAGGAAAGATTGTGCGCTGTGGCTCTTTACTGTGGGTGATGACGACGACCATTTTCTGGTGCTGTCTCACACACTCTTCGCTGTGGATCTGGCGCTCGGCGCCCAGCCCGCCCAATGGCGGACCGTTTTTACGGGATCAACCTTCATCGAATTTATATCACTGCAAGAGCACGACTTACTTGTTATCGTTGCAATGTAAACCATCGTGGCCTGTTTTTCTCACTGACTAAGTCTTGTTAGAACACCTTGTGACGACCACAACTCGCGGGTATCGATGGACGCTCTCATTCTAACGCTTTCCAGCAGCACACCCCATCCTCTTGCGGCGGAGCCTAAAATTCACTTGGGTATTAGAAAGGCACTAGATTTTCCCACCCTGAACGTTGATATCGACGTTGCTGGGGATCTCCTCGTGATTTCCACTGTGAAATGGTTCGGAAGACCGCTCGATCACGATTCATTGCGTGTGTTTGATTGGAAACGGGGTGTCCTCATACCGGTATACCCTTTTGTTTCAAAAACTTACTTGCCTGTGTTCATTTCCTTCAGACACAACCAAACCCCAGTCACGGTCCGCGTCTTGCATTTCTGTCTTCACAACACCTGATAGCTCCGAACACCCTTGACAACTCCCTGGACGTTCTTTGCTTCGGAGCATCGGAGACACCGGATGTATGCGTCCAGCCATACAAACTGATGCTCCCCTCGCTCGTCCCTTCTCATCGGATCTCACGTTGGACTACCGAGCTCTATACTTATCCAAACCCACGCCGTGGCCGCATCGAAGTATTACCAAAAGATATCGATGGCGATTGCATGTTTTCAGCGGCGCGCTTTCCCTGCAGCTCCGGAAACATCGCACATTTTCTTCGCATTCAACACTTCATACGGCGGCTATGGTGCCGCCGGCACGAAGCACCATGTACTCGCGATTCGCCCGGCACCCTTGATTCAAATTATTGGTGCATGTACCGCCGGCGGCAACCGCACGATCGCATGGGCGGATTGGGGCCCAAGATGTGCTGGCTGGCTGGATGCTGCTCGGCAAACAACCACTTGTTTGGCCAGCTGCGGCGCGCGCGGGGTCCGTTACGCGCCGGACATTGGCTTGCGAGACCTCGACGGACCACCACAAAGCCCTTCTCGCCTGCAGTTGCTTGACTTTGGCGAGCGGGCGGTGGCCGCCGCACGGAGAAAGCAGAAGTCTAATCAGTTCATCGACCAGGACTCGGAGTTGAAACCTCCTGTCATTGTCGAACCCAGTGCACTCATATTCGGGGAACCTGCGCCGGATAGCAGCGATCTGGCGCCTTTCGCAGAACCTGTCCGCTCGGAAGTGGCCTACGTTCAAATAACCTCGAAGGAGCGGTATGAGTTTGAAGACGTAGTCTTGACGGATGAATGTATTATAGGTCGGAAGGTAAGCTGGCATTATCATAGTTCAGTCGTTCCACAACCGGGCAGCAGAATCTGGACTCTGAGCAGGGGAGGGAAACACTCGACGTGCTATTTTTCGGGTAGATAGGGCATCAATTCGGCGGTCAGCAAAAAACAATTTCTTCACAAGGCTTCAAGTTTAGCGACGATGCCGCCGGCCCAGAGTAACTTAAATGCTAAACTTATTCACGAAAAGAAGCCCGGGCCCACTTGAACAAAGTTGTGAATCATGATGACGATTGCTCAGGAATATTATTACATGCTGAGACTATTACTAGGAGTACACTGGCAATGTATTCGTACGCGCTGCTGAATGGAAAAGAATCTAATAATTAGGGCTCCAACCATTTCCATTTGTAAATATTTACAAATGGTAATAAACATTTAAACACCCATTTATTTGTGAACATGGGCAAACATAAATTAAATACAAATAAATAGTTCAAATGGTTTTCACTCCAAACACACCCAAATCGATCTCAATAGTGTGGTTTAAGTATCTTTGAACCTTAGAAACATTTACACTCATTTTAGAACCAACATTCCATCACTACGAAGTTTATATTACAACTCCTCCTTAGCACTGAGCTGCATTTGATCTTTGATAATTTGGTGATATAATCAATAGGAAATATACTTTGCATTGAAAGGGACTATTGCAGCTTGAATGAACATATTTCTCATTGGTAGATGCATATAGGACATGAAAATTGACATGATATATGGCAAAATTTGTAAACAGACAGCTCAATTTTACTTGATGGGAAGAAACCATTTACAAATAGTTTTAAACATTTATTACTGTTTGTATTTGTGTTTCTATTTTATTTGAAAATTTCACAAACAGAAATAAAATAGTTGGAGCCCTACTAATAATCGAGACCGCGTGCGCGGGCGGTCTGCTGCGGCCTTGCACACCCAGCAGAAGTCATCGACGGCATCGACGTCCCGGTCTATTTGCACGCCAAAGTTCTGTACCCACAAACGTCAGTCGGGCACGTTATGAAAGATTGACCCACCTTGATGCATCGGGTGTGGTTTGCACAGGGCCGGCGGTGGCGCTGGGAGTTTTCGCAGTCGCGGCGATCGCAGTCTACGATGGCAACAACGAGGTGGCGCTGGAAGTGCTGTGGATGGCATAAGCAGAGAGCGAGAGATCTTTGCAAGAGCACGCACGCCCGCAGCGGGTCCAGCGGGTTCCTTCACTGAGGGCAGGGTTAGTAACATTCAACAGTTAGATTAGGCTCATACGCGATGCGGCGGCACATATTTGAAGTGAGTGGAGTGTTTGGATGTTATAGGTTTTGGTTTTCGTGGTTGGGAGGAAGGGGCAAGAGGAACACTCTGAAGTTGTGTACCTTCCCAGTCGGTGCAGCACGAGCTTATAAGTATATCCAACCACCAACGACCGTCGTCAAAGCGCAATGCTCGGCTAGCGAGGGACGCAAGGGGGGTTCAAGATTCGAAACATGGATATAGGGTCGGAAAGTTTTTTTCCGACCCTCTGGGGACCCCCCCCCCCTCCCCCTCCTGCCTTATATAGTAATATATTCTCACGATCAGCGTCATGTGACCACTGATGCGATCAAAAAAGTGGGATAAAAAATTCAATCTTTGTGAAACTTTTTTTTGTGCAAAAATTCTATACATGTGTATGTATATATGTGTAGGTATGCATATACCTGGAGTAGTGATGGCCAGGTTCGGTTCGGGTTTTCGGTTCGAACCCGAACTTAACCGGACCGAACCGAGGTTTGGTGTTCGCGTTCGGCCAAAGGCCTTTCCGAACTGAACCGGAGCTCGGGTTCAGCCGGGTTCGGGCTTTTTTGGCCTAAAAAGGCTGGTTCGGGGCCGGTTTGAACCGGGGTTCGGCGTTCAGGTTCGCTGAATCCGGGTTTTGAACCGAACCGGCAGTCCGGGGTTTGGCCAAACTGGGCCAAGAACCGGACCGAACCGGACTTGGCCATCACTAACCTGGAGCCTTCAGACACACATGGCAGGCCATATCAACTCTTCAACATGTTCACCTCTCATTAATTACCTGATGATGGGCCTATGACAGAGTGGCCTATCCAAGCTTATGGGCCTGAAAGTATGTAGATATAAGTATGAGAGTTGTGAACTATAGAAATTAGAGTGTATACATTATATTTTCAGTGTCTTTACACTCATATAAGGCCCAAATCTTTCATATACAAAAAGTTTTTTTTACCCCCCGGGGACCCCCCCCCCTCCCCCCTACCCCATGTGCCTGATAAGGATCTTGAACCCCCCTTGGAGGGACGGATTGTCGGGAAGACGGCGAAAGTCAAAGCACACAAGCGAAAACGAGTCATAACTCCCGTCCGCTCTTTGTTTGTGCGGCCACATCATGATCGGCATTGCACTGTCGTCACTGTCAGTTGCCGTACACAGACTCGGAACGAGAGCCCGACGGGCCGACGGCCGACCGCACAAACGACGGTAAAAATAAGTAGGATTGGTAATATTCCCCACGAATATTAACCCTCGTTTACATTCGTTGCCTCCACCTCCTCAAACGTTAACCCCACACCCAGTTTCTGACGCTCGGAATGGTCCAGTTCCCCACACGATCCCGCAGGCACCCGTTTTGCGAGGTAAACCGTGCCGTTGGACCCAGTAATACCACTCGCATGTTGTAACGTTAGTGCGACATAATTGATGTTGTAACGTTAGTGCGACATAATTGTGGCCATTATGGTCGACTACGTCCAGAACTTCTATTCCATGGCCTGTCGCCGGTGGAACCGTGCCCATATATGACTCATGAGGTGGTGAGCTCAAAGGAGCGGAGAGTGGGGCGGGCTATGCCCGTGGCACTGAAGGAGGCTCGATCGAAGGGGCTGACTTCGGGGGTGCGGAGGCCGAGAAAGCGGCCGCTCGCTGCAAGTGCTGAGTTGGCAAGGGAGAAGGAGCCGGAGATATTCTCCCAGGAGAGACGGTCGCCGGCGTATAGGTCGAGGGTGAGGCTCCCGAGGGAGCCGGTACTGTTTTCACAGAGAGATTTGGGCTGGTTCCGGGCGGCGACGAGTGTGTATCTGCCGAGAAGGTTCTCCAGGGGATATGGGAGGGACAAAGCGGGCTGTTGTGAATGAGGGAGGCTTATGACAAAGGGGACACTGGTAAAACGCACCAGCCATGAGACTACTCTGTTCGTTGCGGCATCCCAGTGTTTGGGCAAGTCCTTTAACGTCGCATTCTCGTAGTCGTAGTTGCGCGGCATGGTGGAGAAGGCGAAGGGTGGGGGCTCCAGCAATGGAGTCCCAGACCATATATAGCGTGAAAGCCGAGCCTGGCAGCCGTATTGCAGTGAGCGCGGCGTCATCAAGGCACCTTGAGGGACGAACTAGGCATATGAATGACTTGATGTATAGAGATGGGCATATATGGCGCTTCATATACCGCACTGGTATGTGTTACTAGGAGATGAAGGTCGGGCTGCGCGAACGCCGAAAGTTTTTGGCGCAAACTACTAGCGGAGCCTAAAATTGCGCCATTGCGACCGGGCATAGACTTGACGGCAACGGAGACGACGCCAACCTGGGGCATCTTCATGACAAGCACTATGAAGCTCGATTCAACCCCGAAGGCACCAACATGCTCATCGACGTCGCTGGCTGGGGAAAAAGGTGATGGCTGAGTCAGTGCTGAGTCATCAGATCCTCCCACGTCCGTCGGCACTTGTCCTCCCGCCATGACCGACAACTTTCCTCGACTTCCGCCAGAACTCGAGCGTGCGATATTTGAGCTAGTGGCCGAGGTCTATCCCAGGACAAGATCCTCCCTCGTTTGTGTCGCTGCTCGAGTGCGCACCTGGTAATCATGTTCTTATTGTCAGAAATCCTTACTTATACTGAAACACTTATAAGGATTGAGCCGTGGCTCTACAGAACCCTGATTCTTCGCGATAAGCTCACATCCGAGCGTCTCCTGCACCTCCCACTCCAAACCGGCCGACTTCTTCAGGCATTCCGTGCAGCGAATCATCATTGGACGGAAAGCATATCGACCAGCAGACATCTTGGCCCGGGACATACCAGATGCGACTACAGGCAGTTAAACAGATGTGACACTTCCCTTTGGATATCCATTCAGATGCAACATTTACCTTCAGATGTGACACACGGGCACAGATGCAACAGTCTGGTCCAAAAACAGATGCAACAGTAGAAACACGAATATTTTGTTTTAAGTCATATTTGTTAGTATTTGTTAGTGTTGGTTAGTGTTGGTTAGGGTTCAGTTAGGGTTCAGTTAGGGTTCAGTTAGGGTTCGGTTAGGGTTCGGTTAGGGTTCGGTTAGGGTTCGGTTAGTTAGGGTTAGGATAAGGGAAAGGTACGTCTATATATACTGTTGGGGGAAATACTGAGTTAATGTTGTAACTATTTGTTAGGGTTTGGTTAGGGGTTTGGTTAGTTAGGGTTAGGATAAGGGAAAGGTACATCTATATATGCTATTGGGGGAAATGCTGAGTTAATGTTGTAACTATTTGTTAGGGTTTGGTTAGGGTTGGTTAGGGTTATTTTTTGTCAGAGGAATATTAACTACCAGTGTGATACAATCAATTGATTGCTGTTATGGTGTCGCATCTGGGCCATCAAAAATAGACACACCCGCAGGCATGGAACAGACGTGACACCTGTCACCTCTGTTTTCCTGCCTGTTGTCGCATCTGTATAATCCTCATCTTGGCCCTTGCCCCGGATACAACACACATTGCCATCGGTACCACGGTCGACTTTGGTCCCATCTTTGCCGCATTCGGCCGACTACGCCATGTGCACACTGTGAGCATGGACTCGACAACGATGTCCCTGGCCAACATGGCGGACCCAGTACTGCCCGTCTGGGCCACCCTCACGCATCTTGAGCTCGTCAACCGCTGGCCTTTCCAAAACCCGAATATATTCGCCTTCGTCGTCGCTCTCCCCGCGTTAACGCATCTAGCACTCTCCAGCGACCAAGACTGGACCGCGACGCAGCGGCTTCTGGACAGTTGTCTTGAGGAATCAGAGATGACGCTTCGGGCATTTGTAATATTGTGCGATTCTGAGGTGTCCGGGGAGCTTCTCGCGCGAGATGTGGTGCCATTGTTCCTCGACAACCCCCCGCGTTGTCGTTTGCCAGCGCAACACATGGGACGAATGCGCGCGGGAGGGGCCCAACTTTTGGGTGTCTGCAGACACTTTTCTCAAGAGAAAGCAGAATGGCGAGGTAGACGGTGAGTCAATACACCTGCGTAGTAACTCATTCTTATTCTTGCTGCAAAGCCACTGCTTTTCTCGTCCGCCGACCCAAATATCCTAGGAAGAATAAAGGGGCTGTGCCGCGCTCCCAGCAACACCGACCAAAGCTTTCCGCTCGATCATGAACCTATGTGGCTTGAGCCTTTCTACAACGCTTGGGACATTCGTCTTTGCCACAGGCTATGAACATGCCCACCGATGAGTTTCGGTATGGACGCTTGGAACTTTGGTCCACCGCCTATAAAAGCAGCATAGAGCGAATTCCTTCAATACCATCTCACAGTCTGTCCTCTCCCTCACCAATACTCAACCTCTTCGTCGCTTTCTTTCCACAATGTGCCGCCAAATAACGTGAGTTTGACTGCAGGTCTTTCACATTTCTCATCATTTTATCCAGAGAAGGAACTCGTTGGATGCGTTGTGGTGTATGTTTCCTTCTTTCATGCTCGAACTAACAGCTAAAGGCGAACCTATAGCATTACCAAGTCCACACAGTCGTCATGGTCGTCGACTGCCACAGCTACGCCTGCGAGAAGTCTCGCCTGCATCGCTATGGCTGCACCGACTCTACGTGTACCAAGTAGAGATGGCGAGGTTCGGTTCGGTTCAGGTTCAGGCCATTTTTTGGCGAACCCCGAACCTAAACTTCGGTTCAGGTTCAGCTTTGGGCTGAACTCCGAACTGAACTTTAGGTTCAGGTTCAACGCGGTTCGGTTCAGGTTCAGAACGCGTTCGAACTCCGAACTTGACACACGCAAACCTATATATAGTTGGTACCTACAGAACAATGGCAGACAACTACAACAACCACGAGGGATGTAGCGGACGATGACGAAGCCGGCGGCAAAGGCGCAGGGAGCGGGATAACAGCACCGGCGCGGGGTCATCGGCCAGGCCGGTGTTGAGCCCGGGCCCAAGCCAGAGCACGCACCTGCTTCCCCCACGCACCTGGTCCCTCCACCAGCTCCTTCGGCGCCGGTGCGACGCCCAGCCCGCCCCAGCCCCAACGTGCCGCTGCTCGCCTCCCCCGCGGGCCCTCCCTCCTTCCTGCTGGCACCGCGGTCAGCGGGACAATCCTCGGCGTGCTCGGGGCCGCCTGGGCCGTGCTGCTCCTGCCCTGCGTGTGCATCTACCGCGCGCTCCTGGGCCGCGCGGCGCACTCGTAGGGTACCGGTCCCACTGGTGTAGGCGGTGATGGCGGGAGTCAAGAGACAGCTGGCGCTGATACCCCATCCAAATCAGGAATATCGGCCATCTAATCTGATTGATGGGGCGGTCCGGTGCCTCCGGCGTTCGGCGTTCGAACGTGTTCGGACCAGGTTCAAGCAAAACCACCACCGGCCGAACACTGAACTGAACTTCAGGTTCAGGTTCAGCCTTGCGCTGAACTTTGAACCTGAACGCGCGTTCAGTTCGGTCCGGTTCAGGTTCGAACCGGAAGGCCGAACCGGACGCCGCCATCGCTAGTACCAAGGTAGGCCTCGCATCTAGATTTCGTTGCCCTTCTGATATAACTTCTTCACCAGAACTTTGGCCCTAATCTCGAGCGGGACAACGACCGCCTCAAAGAGTTTTGCCGCGAGTGTCGCGCTGCCCGGGGCCAAGCGCCTAGCCGACTTCGCTATATGACCAGCACGAACCATGCTCGTTGGGGCATTGTAACTACTATCATGTATACTTGATGCTATACAACCGTCAACAAGATAGATGGCATCTCTCTACTAGGACCAGGCTGCTCAGTCAATGTGATGGATGACGACCTTGTGCTTTCCGTTTTGCGTCCTCTGATCCTGTTATCAATCTAATATCCAGTGGCAGGAGGAGTGACGAGAATAGTGGGACTGGGACTCGTCAAATGGGACTGAGTCCCACGTTGATGGGCCCAGTCCCACTTTGATGGGGCGAGTCCCATTGCCACGGCGCCAAGAGCGCGTAGCCGAGCATGAGAAAAGCAATCAGAATCGGTAATCAATCAAAAAAACATAAAAGAAGCGCCGCGCAGCGGGCCTCCGTGGCGAGCGGCAGCCCGCGGCAGCGTGGGGGTCCGGGGCGAAGCCCTGGTCGGGGTCCGGGGTGGGAAACCCCGGCCGTCGCGGCCGGCGCCGCCACCCTGTCAAAAGTTCACATGTTTACCAAGTAAAATAGGACAAAAGACACCGGAAAGAGATGTCACGCTCCGCGCAGCGGGCCTAGCGGCGAGCGGAAGCCCCCGGCAGGGTGGGTCCAGGGCGACGCCCTTGGTCGGGGTCCGGGGTGGAAAACCCCCGGCCGGCGCCGCAACCCAGTTGATGCGACCCATGTCGATCCATCAACTAGGGTGATTTGTCGTAACCGAGTCCCACTCCGGGGCTTCGGGAATGGGACTGGGACCAGGAAAAGTGGGACTCGAGTCCCATTGTCCCAGTCCCAGTCCCATTACTCTCGTATATACTCCAGTGGCAGAGTGATCAATTAAATCAGCATCCAGCTCACTTATCTGAGGGAATATCCGGATTCTTTTCACATTTCACATCTAAAACTTGGTTTTGCAAATGATATGAGTTTCTGTTTGCGGAAATTACACCACCAAAAATCTTTCAATCAGTCTGAAAATTTGAGGATCTATTGAGAATATGGAAGGGTGTAGGTTCCCCAAAGCACAAATTGATTGGATCAATAATTGCTTGTTAATACACAAATTACCTATTACTTATGGTGATGATGAGTATAATAGCCATTTTTTTTTCACTTATCTCTGATATATTGGGTATATTTTGCTGCTGAACCTGGCAGATCTAGTCTTATATTTTGTAACATATTTGCCATATTTATTTGCTACAGATTATGGTTATAAAATGGTCTGTTGAAGTCACAATACAGAACTGTCATTTTGTGACGATTTGTGACATTCTCTGATGACTGCACTGTCCAATAGCAAAAATTTGGAAATTTGTCATATATATTGCAGTATATAATCACATCACATAGTGGGTGACTT